AGAGGGTGTTTTGGATTTTTACTTTAATTACTGAGTGCATTTTTCCTTTGTATTTTGTTTGCCTTCTGTTGTTTTGTTGTAATTTTTTATTTTTTTGGTAGCATTGCTTCTTCACCCTGTTTCACTTCTGCAAGATTCTGCATTTACAAATATGAAATATAGTGTAGCAGTTTTTTACTTTTTATATATATAGTATTTAGAGGTAGAGATTTCTGTATTTAGAGATACATCAGCTAAGTTTCAAAAATACCTAGAGAAATCATGGCCTCCTTCAAGGTCACGGCTTCAGACTTAGTCCCAAATTGTCCTCTATTTCATATACATGATTGCCTTATAGCCTTCTAGAACTTGATGTACTGAATACTTTTTCTCCTGTCATTGTAAGGCAGGCTTCTCTTGTAAGTAGGCATCAGTCTAGGAAAACGTAACTGTTTTCACAACCCATCTATAAAATCAGCTAAGGAAAAGATGGTTCCTCAGAGAAATGGGAAAATTAAATCTTTCTAATGATTTCTCAAGAAAGAGAATTAAAAGCTGTTCATTCCCTACTGAATACCAAGAATTCCCAGAATTCCCAGATCCTCTCTTAATCACATGGCCATGAGGAAAATAGTTAAGCTTAAGAGAAAACAGGGAGAAAACCCAATGCACTTGAAAACATCAATGGGCCGCCATGTAGATTTTTGATTCAGTCCATTACATAAAATAATTCATTACAGTCCACTGTTTCTGATGTACAAATGCCAAAGTCAATAAACATTTTTCCACATTTTGAAAGTAGTCACTGATGTTAAACAGTAGCCAGTCATGTTTCTTGAAAAGGTTGGAGTGATTTACAGTCTAGCAGAATCTGAAAACCTAAAGAGTCTCTCTAGGCTTTTATTTGAAGAAATCCATAAAACTAAAAGCTGTATACTGCATAAGTATCTAAGTCTATCAACCTTTCATCAGTAAATATTCATGTCACAGTTGGCAAACAAAAGGGAAGTATTCTGCAATGTAAATAATTTAGCTGTTAAACAAACTACAAATTAATGTAATACAACAATACTAAAGCTTCATTTACCTGCTTTGAAAGGAATAATGTACGACAAGGAGTTCTACAGACCAAGCATTCATCTTTTTTACCTGTAAGGTAAAGACACATTTAAAATATACATCAAATGCAACAGCTATCGAATACATTTTTAAAAGAATTTGATGCCTACACCTTTGTTTGGAGCTTGTGGAAGGAATCTGAAGTTTATACATGAAATGTAAATAAACATGAATAAAGAATTTGATTCTATAACCATTACACACAGTTGCACAGAGAAAATATGTGTAAATGTCATCAGGTCTAACTCCTGCAAATAAGCATTCATGTAAATGATTTTATGAATATCATTAGTGTCACTGAATGCAGGTGACTGTTAGTTCCTTTGATTTAAACAAGACTACTTGCCTGGTTTAATTAAATGTATGCTTAAGTGCACTAATGAGTTACAGTCAAGTAGATATATGACTTTTTAGATTGAGGCCCAGTCTGGCTCTTGATAAAACATAGGAAACTTTAACTTCAAAGAATTATTAATTTTACCTTGCTAATTTTTTCCAGTGAAAAATTCATCACATAACTTTTTAAAACTATCATTTTTTTAAATGTATCTTTGCTTATTGGCAACTGCATTAGTGAATATTTCTAGTAAATTCATATGACTACAATATTTATAATTGATAATTTTACTAGCTGCTTCCTTTTTAAGTATTCTAAGGACAGATGTTTATAAATATCTCTACAGAGTAAATACATCTTAAACCTGATGTTATTAGTGAATTCACAGCAAAAAAATATGTCTCAGGTTTATATAATAAATAATAATAAAAATTATAATGTCTCAACAATATGAAGAGCAGAGAGGAAAGCTATTGCTTAGGTTCTAGGAGCCTGTAAGTTGTATTTATAGGCTGCATCTTATGATCCTCTTTCCTCAAGATCAATCCTGTGAAAACTTTTAGTCAAAAGTTTTTAATTCTGAAATACAGGTTGATCATTTATTCTGTGTGTCTTACAAAAAACAGGTCATTTAGTGTGATCTCAGAAGGAAAAACATTGTTATTTGTTTGCTATTTTTTCTTTTGAAAACCAACTTCCTTTTTGTGCTATTTTTCCCACAGATCTTCAGCTAAGCACATGACAGGAGTCCCAGAATACGACTCGGAAATTGCATACATCATACGAGAGCTTTAAAACATCACTTCCAATGCTCCTAATGCTGCTGAAAATGTTCTAGTGTTTCAGTGACAATCCCCAAATTAAAATGTCTTAAGACAAAACCTGCTCTAAACAAATCCTATGTTTTGCAAATTGCCCTTCACTAAAGAAAAAGCATGTCATCTTATTCTTTTTTTACAATGCATAAGCATCCAGACTCAACCTTCTTTAAGGCCTTCAGTTTTCTGTGTCCAAGGTTTGTTCTCAGCCACATTGCCTCAGCCAGATTCATCTGGAGGCAGACACAGATGTTTACAATTTAAAGAAAATCAATAGCAAGAATTTAAATGGTTTATCAATAACATTAGGCTGACTAAAAGAATGCCCAGACCTTTCTTTTTTCCGCAGTGAGTGAGAAATGCTAAGAGTTGAGGTAAATGTGTGCACACTAGCCCTGCCTGTCTCGCTGAAGCAGAGGGCCCAGCCGCCCATGCCTGCAGCAGCCATTACCTTTCTGGAGGCAGATCTCACAGACAACATGGCCACAGCTTGTGAGGCTGAACCGTGGGGTGGGATTGCGGGGCTCACAGAAGCAGACATTGCAAAAGACCGGGACGGCCATGGGGCAGAGGAGCAGGAGGGCCTGACAGGGAGCAGGTGGCTGAAGCAGATGCCAACCCTCCTTGCTGCCCGCAGGGTGAGGCCTACAGGCCCTCCTCCGCCATGTTCCTGGGCTCTGAGGTAGCGCCGATCCCTGAGGTGAGGGGTGGCGCCTCCCCCTACACCACCCAGGGGGCCTGAGGGCAGCAGAGTTTGACCCTCACACCCTCAGAAAGGGGGGTTTTCTGGTCTGTCACTACCAAACTGGAGAGGGCACCCACACAGGGCATCCTCTTTGAGATAATTCCCCCTCCTTTCACACAGGTGGGCAACTGAACTGGATCAGCCACCAGGGCTCCAGCAGAAGCCCTGTCCTCCTCACAGAGGTGGCCATGCTGTCATTGGGACAGCAGGTGTGTGGTAAATGGCAGTGCCTTTTCACTCTTCTAAATCCAGGAATCTGGGAAGGTTATTAATTTACTGTCACAGACTTGCTGTTGCTTCTTTTGGTGGGGAAAAAAGTGCAAAATAAGGAGTTTTGACTTTCATTCTTTATATTGAAAAAAACGTAGGGCTTGCTAATTTCCCGTGATGAAACTTAGAGACCTAATTGCTGTGCAGGCTGTAGCTCTGAGTGTGACAGAGCCACAGACTGCATAGGAGGAATGTCCGGCTTTTCAAATTCATAAAGACTACTGCCCCCAAAGTGCTTCCCAAAAGAGCGATAATTCAGATTCTGCTTTATAGAGTTAATTAAAAATCTTGAAGGAGACTGAAAACATTTCATCAAAGCAAAGATATTTAATTATTATTATTAGAGATAAAGAATGAAGCGCTCTCAAGCTATAGGGAAGACTCTGAGTTTCACTGCTGGTTTGAGTATAGACCTAATTAACACTGAGGAGCGTAATCTGCTCCTTTATAAATTCTGACATGGCGCCTGCCCTTTTGGTTTAAAAGCTTAAATGCATTGTAAGTGAGATGAGCCAAGTTGTCATTAGGATGTATCTAGGAGCTTTACTAAATATCAGATAAGGTCTGAACCACAGCCTTGTAGCAACCCTTTATTAAACTTTCTTCTTAGACTTCATATACCATATGGTTATAACACATCTTTCCTTCTTTCCAACCACCAAAGATGTTATTGCAAGACATGTTGTGTGCTCCATAAAAGTGAATTTAGTAAGACTTATTTACTGCGCATTTCAAGTGACAATTCTGAAATCTCAGAATTTCGAGATATAAGACACACCTCAGTGAGTAACTTTATGAGATTTTATTTTGATTGATTTGGTCTGTAGAGCATTTCCTTTTCTCTTTACTTCATATCAGCTTTATGGATTCTCACATACTCACAGCTGTATTTTCATTCCCATACTATAAACGTAAGTGAATTTAAAGGGCAATGTCATTTCCTTGCTAAAGAAAACAAAAGGTGAGAAGACAGAAAAAAGAAAGCAAGCAGTACCTTTAAAACAATAATTGGTCTACAGATATTTCAACTTTCACTAGCTTTTATGCTAGCAAAGGGTCTGGAAAGACAAATAGGAAGCCAAACCACAGTATTCTGCTATCTAGAAACTATTTCATGTTTCATACTTTTATATGTTAACAAGTGCTGAGATGGGTCCAGCTTCTTTTTACATTACTGCTGCTTTGTCAAGCTAATTATCTGAATTTTTATCAACTGCTTTTGACTTGTAATTGCATGATACTATAGATACGCTGCTAGTTGTACATAAACTAGATAAATTAAGGTATAAAGATATGTTCAACCAAGCTGCAATACATGAAATGGAAATACGTGATTAAGTAAAAAATTGGTAAGTTCCTTAGACAGTCCTGCTACATATATGTTGGATAAAAATAATTGTCCAACACAGAAATGGACTGAGGAGTTTAGTATAGGAACAATTTAAAATATCTAGGCAAAAATTCAGTGCTTACCAAGAAACTTGTAGTTTGGTTTACTTTGGCATATTTAATGAAGACTATAATTTACATAAATAGCCGTGGCAGAGGTCTGATGTCAAGTCTATAGCCTAATGTTTAGGACTTATCTGGGAGTAAAAAGTAAGTACAATTGCCAATTGTTTGGGTCTCTCTCTTCCATGCTAATTGCTGCAACCACTGATCATAATCTTAAGGGTGAGCTCCACTGTCACTTAAAACTTTGAATATTTTAAAAAGAAAACAATCACAATTATATTTGAGGAAAAGCTGGGTATTATTACACATACATAGGTTGAGTTCAAGACAAATAAAGAACTGCAGGGGATATAGATGTTTATCTGCCTACTATCTGAATCCTATTCAGTCTGAAACGCTGAACTGTTTATGGTAGTACTGAATACAATCACTAAGCAAGTAGGGAAATTTAAAATATTAGGAAACTTTTTTTAGACTTCTGTTTTAGATTTATTAATCCTGAGTTGAATTTAAATGCTGCCTTAGTTACTGAGTCCTTCTTCTAGATTTAGCTTTACATCTGTAGAGGGAAAATACTTAATAAAAGATGGGATTCAAGCAGTAAAATGTAAGGGGATGCCAGAGGTTGTCATAGACACGGAGAAACCAGAGTTACAGTAAGAATCATAGTAGAAGATGAGAGAAGCTTGAGAGTTATATACAAACAATTTTTGCACAGATGCAGGGTTTCTTTGGATGTTAGGTGTTATATAGTGTGCAATTTTTGAATTTGTGCATTTACTTTATAAGACTTAAACAAGCTTCTTAGATATAAAGAAATCTCTGAGAGATTTGATTTGCCAGATTCCAATGGATATGAGGAGTAGTGTTTGTACAATAGCCCACCACAAAATATTGCTGTTAGTTTCTTCACTTGTCTTCCGAAATTTTTCTTCACGCTCCTAAAGAAAAAAGGAAAAACATAGTTATTACCTTTCAGCATCTGTATGTTTCATGCTACTATCCAGGTAATTGGACAGGCATCCCTCTTCTACATAGCAGTGAACAAACATTTCCTTTTCATGTTGGTAAAAATGAAAGTTTGTTCTTATCCTTTAGGTGGGTATCTTTACAAATCAAAACTGAGAAGCAGACACACTGTACCCTGAAACAGAAAGGCAAGAAGAGCTTTCCCTTGTTCACAAAACATATATTGTGCTAATTATTAGTACAGGCTTAAGCCTTTTTAGGTTTAAAGTCACTTCCATATTGCATTCAAGAATGTTTTTTGCAGCCAATTTTCTTTTTTTAGGTAACTAGTTGATACATTTCAAACACAGTCTGCCTGCATACATATGGAAAAGTGAAGACAGTGGCTGTACACATGTCAAGGAGGGCTTTATTTCTAACTGCATGGAGATATTTAAATATATACTTAGTCATTTCCTTACCCACTCCAATAAACTTTATGCACACAGACCAGCACGGAAACAACAGCTGGCAACATCACCAGAAATGGTGCCTGCCACCTGCTCAGCTGCTCTTACTGACTCTGACCAAGAAAACTATATTTAGAAATGCCTGCTTTAAAATAACACCTGTTGCTGTAAGCATGAGTGCGTAGTGATTAAATAGTTTTTATGTTACACCTTAAAAATATTTCGCAAGATAATGTAGGCTATATTGGTTAAATGCCAATAGATTTTTATGAGTTGGGTAAAAATAACATAGCAATTAAAAAATAAACCTCATAATACTTTATAAATCAATAACCCTATGTACAATATTTTTACCAGATCTATTAGGGAACATACATACTCTTTCATAGTTTTGTTCTTTGGATATGTGATGAACTTGCTCAATTAGATGTTCTAGTCTAATGTTAACTTCATTCACTTTGTCTTTGGCTTGAACAACAGATTCATCCAAAAAATGTTCTCCAACTCTAATGTCCAAATGGATACGCTGCAAATAGAAAAAAATGTTCTCATTACTGGGTCTTCTGTGTTTTCAAAGTTTCTTAGAAAGAAAGAAAGTACAGATAATTTCCCATTAAGCTCATTACAGGAAAAAAGTTTTAATTGCTTATAGAAATCCTTCCTCAAACAAGAATCAGGTGGAATATTTGAAGTGTTTCTTAATTTTATTTTTACATTTATTATACAAATTTAAAATCTTCACTACTGTTAGGACATCATTTTATGGTAGTATTGATTCAACACCATGCAAATGTTTTCTGTTTTTTGTCCAAACTAGTAAAAAATGAGCACCATTAGGACTGCTCATTGTATTTCATTTTCCATCCTAAAATTGCAGAAATTACATTGTTCAGTAGTACTGCAGGAAGCTTTTTATATATGCGCTTCTAGGTTTCCTTCACTAACAGTTAGGAATAGACTGGAAGGAGACCAGCTACATGATTATTTGTGGTCCATCATAGTTATTAAAGCAGAACCACCCACAAGGTATCTTTTTCTTTTTTACCACACATGGTTTATCTGATATGAAATACCTGCCATTATCCTATAAACTACTGTATGATCTATAGCAAAACTGCCCTAAACCTGCCAAGCAGTAGACCCATAGAAAGAAAAAGAAAGAATGCAACTTGGCAATATTATGCAACTTATTTTGGCATGAATGAAAATCTTTACTAAAACTAATAGGAGAAAGTTCTCCTAGACGCCAATTTGTACCTGAGAAAATAAAAATGTTTTAGCCAAACAGATAATCTGTAAAAATCCAAGAGTTTGTTATTACAACGATAGAAATTTGGTCTACTCAGACATCAGACACAAATGAACAGCACATCTCCTTTCAGCTCTCTTAGAGTTAGATAAGCATCCAGACATCCGTCTCACGACCTTATGGTAGCTTTTGTCCTTTAATTTATTAGGCTTTGGTTTGAAGCAGTTCAAATAACTATAACTGCATCCGGTTCTTATGGAATACCACTTAAAGATTTTACTAACCTGAAGAAAGTTTTTTCCATTTGTGATCTTGATTTCTGCAGATATAATTATAAAGAGCAATATTTTCCTGTTTATACTTCTCTGTTCTTAAGCTAAAAAACCCGCCTTATTCAATATGTGTTCTATTAATGTTATCCTTCCCTGCACCTGTTCACTTCTTTTGAGTAGGATGCCTAGAACCGTACATGGTGCATGCTTCATGTAAAATGGTATTAATGTACTTCCATCTATACTAGATAAAAATCTTCCAGTGTAATCTCAGAATCATATTCATGGTGTGTAGGTAACTATGGCAAACCAATACTTTATCCCCCTTACCCTCTCTGGTTGATGAGCTGCACAAATTTTTTTTATCATTACAACCTAAGTGCTTTTGTGATGTGTGTGATTAATTTTCCACTCATTTCCATAAATCAATGCATAAGGACACCTACTTATTCCAGTGTCATAGTCTCACTTTAGTATTTTTAACTCTCTTTGTTTCTGTCATCTACTCCTTCCCAAAGCATACATCTAGGATGAAATTTGGCCTATCTTGCTTAACACATTTACTAAATGCTTAGAACTCCTCTGCAGTCAACTGGGAAAAAAAACGCCTCTGAAGAGTGATTCTTACATGTCCAACTATGTTTTGAGAACAGGCATAGAGATAAAATTTTCAAAATAGTGTTTATGAAATTGTTTTTTGAAATAGATCAGAGCCTCCAATGGCTTCTATTTTATTTTTTCAAAATCTGTATTAAGACCAAGTTTGTTGCCAGTATACAATATCAAGTATACTAATATATTATTAAGTTTAATATTTTTCAAAAAATAAAATATTAAATTTTCTTTAGGAATTCAATGAAGAATTGAGTTTATGAAGACATGGAATATCTTTATGGCAAGTGTTTATGTTAGTCAATCTTACATATTTATCTTTTTGAACCAAATACTTGTTCTGATTGATCAGAATCTTTGACATTCAAACATTACAGTGTACAAACATGAAATCACTCTATAGTTATTAGTGTTGCCTCTTTAATCTTGACTTCTTAAATAACAGAAGAGACTCTTTTTATCTCTTCATAACTCTAGGTTTGTCTTCTTTAATCATAGGAAATGTTGAATTATCTACTTGAAGTTAGAAGACCAACTTCTAATCCAACTTGTGATTTCTGCATTTTGTAAAAAATTAATACTATTACAACAAAGAATATTTAATATACCTACCAGTTTACTTCCTCCAAATGATACAAATCTTGTGGAGTTAGACTGTAAACAGATAATATGCTCCCCAGATAGATGGGATGTAAAAGAAAATGTTCCTTGTGGCCCATACAGTTTTGATAATAGTACCTGTAATTTAGATATTATATATGTTGGATATGTACATTATAAATATCAATAAAACAATCAAAAAACAGTACCGTGAATTGGATGTAAAAAGTAATCAATTAACCTCCTGATATCATTAAATTTAGCTCAATTTCAGGTTAGATTTAAAGAAAAATAAACAATTTTAATTCCCAGTGAATATTAAAATGCTATAGATTTCTGCAATGTACAAAAATCAATGCTGTCTAAAGCATTTAAAGTTTGAAAGCTAAAACCTTGTCTAGGCACAGAAATAAGTTGTCCATTGCTGAAAATGCTCAGGACCTCATGGCTACACAGGCAGTTCATGTTCAAAATGGCTATATGCAGCCTTATGGTACTCTGGACTTTTGCAATTTAGTTTGTCATCAGCCTTCCTTTCTGTTGCTCAAGTACATTCTCTACCATTTTACTTAATTAGTGGATTATAATTTTTGTTAAATCTAACCTGCTTTCTCAGTTGTCACTTACTATTCTTAAAGACTCAGTTTCCCAAACCTGGTAGTAAAGCAAAAATTATCCACATATGTCATTTTCAAACATCTTAATTTCTGTTTACTTTGACAGAAATCATTACGTGCTTATACCTTTTGTCATCAAAATACTGAACTAACCAGTAGGCTGTAGATTTACTTTTCCCCCAAAACTGTTTATTATTATTATTAGATAGTGCTGCCTATCAGTGCCAAAAGTCAACTTATAAATCCTCCAGAAACATTCATAAAGTGTATTTACCTCAGCAGAAGGAGTTGTGACAGTCACAAACATTCCCAAACCAGGAGCAGATTCAAGAAATTCGTGTTTTTGTATATCCCAACGTTGTACTTTGTAATTCCCTGAATAAAAACATAGATAAAAATCTGCTAAATAAAACATAGCTTAATATTAAACATCTTTATTGCTTTTTCAACAAAAAATATAGAGATAAATGATTAACAATAAAACAATATATGTATTACATGTGCTTATGATTAAAATGCTTGGGGGGACTATATAACAGTGTGAAATGCAATAAATTTTTACTACACTAGAAAATGCTCTAGAACACTACAAAAATTGTTGATTAATAAATAATGGTTTCTAATTAATCCTAATGCTCTGGCAAGACAAGGATTGGCATTCTACCTTCTGTAGAAGGCATGCTGAGATCTCCAAAAGCATGTGTGCTGTATTCAAACTACATTCTTAGGATTGTCTTTTATGTTTATCACATTATTTATAAAAAAGATTATTATATATTATTTTTTAGTATCCCATTTCACTGTTACATTTACAGTCTTGTAGATGACTTAAATGTGCTTGTGATATTCCAGGTGAAATGGAACTTCAGGACACCTTGAATTGATTCTTTTCAGACCAGTGTCAAACAAAAAAAGTAACTCTCACACTCATATGGGGAAAATCATGTTATTGAAATTTAGGTATGAATGAATAAATCAGTCAGAATGTACAGAAGCACACATTGAAGCAGCAATTCCACTGCTGTAGAAGTAGAAGAAATTATTTTTGTCTAGTCAGTTAAGCACTCTGGAAACATGCATTTCTTTGTGCGATGGATACACACAATGTGTGAGGACACTTTTTATTTATTTTCAGTGTGCCCTCTTTCTTATCACCATGTTTTACAATATTTATCAGTCACAGATTTTCCTGTTATGTTGCAAGCTATCTTAATTATTGCTAAGTTAGATCATCATACAGCATTGATAGATACCTACCAATTACCAGCGTGTCTGTGGGAATATCTTCGATTATGCATTTCTCTTCTCTTTCTCCACTGTGAAAATATAAAGCAAGTGAAAAAGAAATCCAGAAGTTCATAAGAAATCCTATTAATTGGCTTTTCATGATTTTTACATATGCCAGTCGCGCTGCTTTTGAAAATAACTATTTACAAATGTATGTAGTCCTGTGGTTGTTCCTTGTTTGCTGCTTATCGGTGTATTTTTGAGGGGAAAAAAAAAAACAACTGTGAGAAAAGGCAGCTGGTGGTAACACGTTTATAAATAACTGTGGTATGTTCTGCAGAATGAGATAACATGGAAAAGATAACTTGTAAAAACTTTCTTCTTTCCCAGCATCTAGATTAAAATTTTATTTTATACACATAGAAGAATATGAAACTGAAAAAGACCTCTCAGGTACTTGAAATCAGTTCCCTAGATTACTCTAAGCAACGATGTTGGCCATCTCTTTCCATAAATTGCTCAATTTTCAACTTAAATGAACTTGTTTTCTTATATTTCACATTTATTCTGGGTGATTATTCCAGAGCTTCACTCCTCTTTTATTAAGAAATCTTGTAATTTCCAACCTAAATCATTAGACAAATATATACACCTGTGCAAAACCCATAGGAACTATATAATCTTGCTGAAAGAAATATGAAGAAGAAAGTTAAAAGAACTTGAACAATAAAAAATATTCTGAAACACTAATTTATATGACATGCCAGGAAAAAGGTAATGAAATCAACACTTTTTTGATAAGACTTCTTTACATAAGAATGTCTTTCTCTTATATACTGCCTAATAAATTCTCTAAAGAAGGTTATAGTGCAAATTAAATAGCGATAGAAGATATTATTATTACTCTTTGTATTAATATAGACCAAACAATCTATACACCTGATGATAAACTCAGTTACCACTCAAGTGTTCCTTGTCCTATAAACTGAGATCACTGTGACTGAAATGTTGGCCTCAATGTGAGAGGATATGTGGTCATTTTGCAGCATGGAGGACCTACCTATGGGATCATTTCCAGTAGAGCGGAACCACCTTTGAGCTCATTTTTCCCCTTCAGAAGCTCCCTACACTCCTGTTGTAAGACTCTGTAGTTTGATCACTGACTCTTTCCAACCCCGCCATGTTCCTCAGCTGTCCTTGGCATTTGCAGATGAAATTGTGCAGTCCTGTCCTTGAATGTGTCTTTGATGAACCTCTTTGTTCACTTCAGAGTTCTGTCATCTTAACTTCAGAGTATGGGATATAAGCAACCTCTACTGCACACACGCTCTCCATATAGGCAGTATGCAGGGCCATAGACCGGCAAAACACTATCTCCTTGCTGGAATTTTGACAGCATTTATTTTGCTTGAAAAGGTGGTAGTTGGATTTGACTTTGTATTCTGGTTTTATGTAGCTGTCAAATGCATAAATTGTATCCTGTACATGATGCACACATCAAAGGATCATGACTAGCCCTTTTCCTTTATTTTTCAACACTCCTCTGAAGCCTTCTTTTGGTTTCCTCATAGAATGTCCCATTTGCATTTAGAGTTATTTGATGACACCTGTTTATCAGTGGTCTTCCTATCCATTTCTGAGAATCTGCTTTAGCAGGAGATGCATTCTGCTAGTGCTGGTAGCCATAGAATTGGCTCCATCATAACACAAGAACAAGTATTTTCCTAGTTATCAAGAAGGGTGTACAGCAACTCATCCTCAATATCTGTAGCATAAATACCTAACATTTCATGATGGTAACTCTTAATGGATTATTTCACATCTGCTGGTTTACTGCCCTTCATTGCACCTGCTGTCTATATAGTTGTCTCAATAAAAATATCTTTGTCTGACACAGGCTCACAACCATCATAAGTTCGGTTCATTCCACATCCCATGAAGTATCCTCACAGAAATTCTAGCACAAGTATTCATTCACCTCCAGCAAAATACAACATCCCTATACTGATAAAGAGATTGTCAAAGACAAGGAGCCTTGATTCCTTAAACATTAGTTCTTTTCCTTTGATTCCATATGGTTAAGGACAGAGGGATGCAAATTGCATCTCATGGCTATTGAATTCTTAGGAGTCTCAAAGGTGATATTAGGACTCCATTACTACTTAAGCATTTATCCATCAGAAAAAATTTTAGATTATACAGAATCTCATCATATAATTGGATTCTAACCCCTCCACCACAGGGAGATTTTGACTGACATGAACCTGCATAAATTCTCATGCCATACTCTACCTGCAAGAAGTATAGATTTGTCTGTGGATTGTGAGCTACTTAATCAATCATTCTTTCAGCTTTTCATTGACTACTTGAGTTTTTCAAAATTCCATGTTCCAAAGGCAGAACACAAGGTGTATAAGGGGATGCCCAGACCAGTTGGGACAAACATATTACTTCTGTACTTTTGGCTAGCAAATGCTAACATTGTAGGGCTGCTGGATCTCAAACAAACAAAAAGAATTCAGCCTCCAGGTGATCAGGTTGTCATGCAGCATATTGAGAGGTTTTTGTCTGAGGCAGTCACAGTACCTGTAAGTTACCATGGACACAATTTCTGCATACTACACTCTATTAAATAGGATTTGTCTCACTTTTTAATTGCTGTATCAAGTGTTAGATTTATTTTCTCAGCATGCTAAATATTGTCATGGAATAGTCAGAGTAACTTTATCATGTTGGATCATTCATGACAGATCAGATATTCCCAATGTATTTCAATTACCTGTGACTGCGAATATCATTAAATGGACTTTTTTGCCTTCAGTACCATCAAGTACTCTCAGATCTTTTTCTCATACTGCAATTATATCCTGATGGGGACAGTGTTCATTCAGTGATCAGAAAGGCTGGCATATGCTTTCCCTCCCATTCTAGAAGTTAGGCACAAATTAGATTCCATGACCATGCTTAACTTTGGCAGTGTGGCTAGGATACTAGAGATATTTTTCAATGAATCCAAGACTGTTGCTCCCCAAAATTATCTTTAGCAGCAGACCCTTTGCCATTTTGACAATTGCCTGCAACAATTAGTAGCAGGTTTGGTGGACGAGATTTGGTCGGTTACAGCTGGCTCACTTATACAATGCACTTATTGAGTTGGCCCTCTAATACAGCTTCTCCTTGGTTGTGGGAAGGCAAAGTGGAAAAAGGCCTCAAACTGCAATTAGTAAGTTTATTTCACACGCTCCCCCTGGATATCCATCCAAGTAATTATGGAGTATTTGGTGGAATGAAATGTCTGGCCTTTTCTTCAGTCCACCTAAGGCTCACACAACAAACATTTATGCTGTGGTACCAGAGAGAGTTCAGTTCATTTCAGTTCAGTTCAGATCACATCAGTCCTTCTTGTATCCTGACATCTACAAAAGTACCCTGCTTTTTCCCTTAACCACCAAGGTGCTGTATTGGATGTCTGCAGAGAAGCCACAGCCCATAGAAAAGCATAAATATCTACACATCTTCAGCTGGCATTCCTACATACTAGGACATAATAGGAAGAGCTTTCAAGCTTTCATGTCCTCACTGCTAACTGTTCTCAAATTCCTTACGGTACTGGACAAGGTCTCAGGAATGAAGTACCCTATTACACTATAGGAATTTAATTTTGTTGTTTTTAGGACCACAGTTCAAGTCTATGGTGACTTTTTTTTCTGCTACACTTACCTTTAACAGTGTCTTCCATTCTGCAAGAATCAAGGCGTCAAAGCTGATTCTTCATACAAAACATTCCATTGCAAGTTTGGTCCCAAAGTGTTTTCTGAGATTAATTTAAACTAGAAATTAATTTACCTGTTTCCTTCTCTAAATCTCATGTATTTAGGACCACAGCATCATAACTGCCAGCCACTGGATGTAAGGGAAAAGGAAGGAAGAGCTTCTCTGTGTTTCTTCACAGTCCCAAAATTTTTAAGGCAAATCCAAAACTGTGCTGAAAGTAGAAGCTACAAAGGTCTAGTCATATTCACCTCACTAATCAGTTTAATAAAGATGCGTTACGAGAAATGTGCTACATCATTAGAATGTGCTTCACTAAAACTCACTGTATCCACAGTCTTGCCAAAAAATGTCTTCATCCCCGGTGTTTGCAAAATGAATACGTGGAACTATATTTATGGCCAAACATTATACTGCCACAAGGGCATCGATAAAGCATGCCATATTTACCAAGTGACTCCTGAAGTCACTTCTTATAAAAAACCCCACATCCAAGTAACTGACTAGATAGGAAACATCTGCCTGAAGCAACCTGCAGTGAATATTCATGTATGTAAACACTCTAAAACAAAAAAAATCATTTATCAATAACTGGAGTTTCCCGAAATGTGTTGTCCTTTTACATATTCACTTCCCATTCTCCTCCACTTCCCCCTCTCATCCCTTCAGTGTCCTTTGGGAAACTTTTAGCTTCAGGAGTTTGTCTAAACACTGGGACTGCTTTTCACTATCAAATTATATCTTACAGGACTGAAATCCTAGATTTGGGTCATGTATACAATTACAGATGCAGATGCTCTTCTACTGGACCTAACCCTTTAGTTCTTCTGGACATTTTAAGAATCAAATCTCTAGTGTCCAGAGAACTCCCAGGAAGATTCCTCCAAGGATACCTTGTGGTTTGTGGGTTTGTTTTCCCTAAGTCATAATTTTGACTTGCAACTGTTTCTGCCCAAGACCTTTATTGAATTTAGTCTGACACCAGTTGATCAATCAATTTGAAATTTGTTACTGTCCTTAGAGAATATATGAATACATACTTCAATATATGTCTAGTTTTCTATGATGGTGATAACTGTGAAAATATACAGCGTATATATACTTGGGTCCACTCTCCTGTGAGGACAGGCTGAGGCAGCTGGAGTTGTTCAGCCTGGATAAGAGAAGGCTCTGGGGAGACCTTATTGCAGCCTTTTAGTACTTAAAGGAGGCCTACAAGAGAGATGAGGACAAACATTTTAATAGGGCCTGTTGTGATAGGACAAGGGGTAATGACTTTAAACTAAAAAAGGGTAGATTTAGACCAGATATAAGGAAGACATTTTGACAATGAGAGTGGTGAACAGGTTGCCCAGAGAGGTGGTAGATGCCCCATCCCCGGAAACATTAAAGGTCAGGTTGGATGGGACTCTGAGCAACCTGATCTAGTTGAAGATGTCCCTGCTTGTTACAGAGGAAGTTGGACTAGATTACCTTTAAAGGTCTCTTCCAACCCAAATTATTCTGTGATTCTAAGTAAATTTAACAGAAAAGACAACATAGAGTGACTAAGCATTAATATAAAAAGAAGAAAGGAAAAAAAATTGAGAAGGTGGAGATATTAACTAAACACAAAATATGAAAATTGTAGTGTAATAAAAATATTTCCATTATAAAATAGAAATGATAGAACCTGAAAAAAATAGGTATGATAAAAGGAATAAGTGAAACAATTTTAAAAAACGGTCAGCATTGGGAAGCTGAAGAGTGCAAGGTGTAGAAATTCCTATACTTAGCTCTCACTAGTGTGCGTTTATCAACATTTGCAGGACCAACTTAGTCTAGCCTGATAAAGTTTCAAATATCTTTGGGCCTTTGCAAGATTTATTTCCTGGAAAAAAATAGAAAGAAACATTTTAAATGTTTCAACCCTACAGAGAATACAGTGTGCTCCTTAAAGCACATAATAATTTTTCTGATATTAGGCATATTTCAAAAAGTAACTACTCAAGTCAACATTTCCCGTTCAATATCTGTGCTGTATATTTGTAAAATTGCAGTGTGCTGTAAAAGTTTTGTGGGCTGACTGTAAACATATTCTATAGAATAGTGTTATTCCAAAATCCTTCTCCTAGTTTGTAGCCACAAGTCTTTAAAAGCCACATTACCTTCATTTTATAATAGTTATTTGAGCATTAAAACTTGCAGTTGGGAACAATTGCTCACATATTGTGTTTTTCTTATATCTGTATATAGCTTAATTTTGTATAATATTAAAACATTGATAAGTTTTCTCTGTAAAAAGGTTGCAATGACACAAATAGCAGCAAACACATTTAAAGAAACATGGACATATTTACTGCCTATATAAAGACAACGATATCATTTATGTTACAGTCAACAATGTTAACTTTGAGATAGTTTTCTCATGAGGGACGCACACCAGCAATCAGTTTTTAAATCTCAGCTAACATTTTTAATTAAGTTCAGAAGTTTTCTACTAGTATCCACACTTCTGATTTTTTCTAATAATTTTGTTGGCCGAGCATCTTCATGACAGATATTCTTCTCACTTTTGAGAAAAAAAGAAAAAGACATTTTCATGTATTCATAAATTTCAAGACAAGTTTACTCAGTTATATTTTTTTCTTAACGACACTGCAAACATCTGGTCAATCTGATTTATGTAAATAGTTTCTGAAGAAATGCATGTTAAACATCTTTAGAAAGACGACAAAAATGCCAATAAATTATAAAAACATAATTTAGAGAAGAAATTATTTTCTAGGTATAAATAGCTGTAGATCAACAAATTACAGTATTTAAGAATGTTACTCATTTAGATTTTGCAAGTGAAAGATTTTTACATGCATGAAGTACAATCTCTCCAAATGTCATATTTTCTACCACTAGAGGGTACTCCAAGAACTTACAGTGTATTTATAGCAAGGATTTATTTGGGGTTTTTTGGTCTGTAAATAATCATGTACTGTTGTCATACTAAACCTTAGGAATTTAATCGCCCCCAAAATCTTGATATTAAACTACAGCTCTCAAAACCAGTCTAATATACCTTTTCAGCACAATAATGCAGCATACCCAAATTATAAGGAACATTGACTGATATGTAGTTTAGATTTAGTTAAACTTA